CAACGATAGTTTCAACTGGCAAGAAACAAACCGGCTGGTTATTCTAAAGATTGATTAGGACGGTGATCTTGAGAGCATCGAAAATCAAATCCAGCTAGTGGTCAGGAGGCTTGGTGACAAGACCGCCATTTCTACAAGGTAATTTGTGCCACGTGTAGGTTTTTGTTGTTTGCAGGGCGAAGGCAGTACCTTCTTCCCTTAGCTATTGTAAGAGCCTAAGTATTGGTCTGGTCCGAGGAATCGGACTCCCGACCTCCAACTCTGCAAGCTAGCGCCGTATGGCTGAGTTAGTCCTGCCGCGGTCGGATTCCATGAGCTAGGCCACGGTAAAAATATAAAAATGTAATTTTGTTTGCGTTTATAGGGTGCTAAGTCGTAAATTGTTCAAAGGAGAACTGGAAAAGAAATGGCCAAAACCTGAACAACCAAATGACTGGGACATGTGGATGAGAATGGAAGGGAACAAGAAGGGAAGAGAATGTATCATACCCGACATCTCACGTACATATCACTTTGGTGCCAAGGGGCTTAATGTTGGAAGTTTTATGCAACAAATTTACTTCAAGAAACATTCTCTAAATAAAGAACGGAATGTCAAGCTGGATGTGAATAAGATGTACAAGGACAGCTATGAAAAAGAAATGCTTCGTTTGATAAGGTACAACTTGTAAGACTCAGTAAACACAAAGAAAGAAAAAAAGGTAAAACGCACTACAAAGTGACTGACCCCTACTGCCGAACGATCGATTTCAGAAGGCCACTGTGTTATTTTCCGATTAGTCTTTGCAATTTATTATTTGGCATTACTGTAAAGCAGTATCATCCTTTAAGAGGGTAAAAAAGAAAGAAGAGGTACAGGGTGTCGGTTGAGAAAAAGTTGACTGTGACTGACCTTTTGAAACGATATTAAGGTGGGTTAAGGATTCCACTAAAGCATCCAAAACACTTCAGTCGCAAAATACCGTAGCGTCTGCCCTTGTATACCTGTGAGACATTAAAATTCCCTGTGGGAAATATTGCAGGAAATTGTAGGTAGTCTGGGAAATCGAGGAAGTTTCGTTTTCTATTTTTGTTGTAAACAATAAATTTCCTCGGAGAAGCAAATATGCCACTTAATAATTTAAAATGGTACCAGTGTTTTCCACATGGACCCTTCACACGGTCTAATTTGGCCCCAATACTAGGGTAAATTTAGCCCCCAAAACTGGGAAATTAAACGAGACTTTCTGCAAGTTGAAGATTGAGTCACCTGCTGCAACACGGGATCACATGAGATTGACTCACATCAGAAACTCATAAGTTCTGCTCACATTGAAAGTAAGCGAAAATTATAGAAATTGTGCGCAGCAAGAAATCTTGCTACCAACCGACGGTGCGAAGCGATAAGCACTGACGTGCGCATGAGTGATGCAATCGCATGGGATCCCTGTGGCAGTGGTGACGAAATGGAATTGGTACCAAAATAGCGCCATTTTATCGAGGCTGAATTAACCCTTAAAACAGTATCATGGACTGGACTCATGCGTTTCGGCCCCAAAAAGCTCTTTTCATTTTACATTGTGAAAGTCCAAGTGCTTATCCTGTACTGGGTTGCCTGTGGTAAATCCGCGACTCAAAGTTAGTTAACTCCGTGAAAAGAGCGAAAGAATTAATCGAACAAGGGTTTTTATCCCAGGAAATGCTGTATTTTGTTAAAGAGATGATAGTTTAAGTTCTTGTCGTTATTTTTTAGAGAAGCCAAAGTGCTGAATCATGCCAAGAACCCGTGCTCACACCTCAAGGATTTTGTACCGGACACAGAAGGGAAGACATACTTGTTTTACCTACGAATGGACACTAAAACAGATTTTACCACGTGGTCCAACGTGGCGCGATGCTTTCGCATGTGGGATCTTGACGCGAGAGGTTTTCATAAAAGCACATGGAGATTTTGGATCAAGAAAAATCACATTGTAGCTGTCGGTTGTCCGGCATCTGACTATTGCAAAAACAAACCGCAGGAGTTAGAACCAATTTATTTACCAAACAAAGAAACGAGACCAAAGGATCCTATTTAAGCTTACCATCTCGAGTACTAATCAGCATTGGTTACTGAAAGGGCTCTCTTGGATAATGACCAAAACAGGAACTCAGTATGCAATGGCTGCTTTAATGCCCAGTGCAAGACGAAAATTGAAGCTCGCGTCTATAAATTACAATACAAGCGGCCACACTATTTTTTTTAATTAATTTTATTGACATTTAGCAACAAAAGGATACAACGGTAAATAATACTTCAGCTTAAGGTGGCTCCGTAATTAATACAAGAGCATTTCTCTGTGACAAATTTTCCGTCATAACTTTTTAAATTTTAACGTACACCAGGAAAAGCCGTCGAGGATGCATTGCAATACATCAAAATTTATTATATAAACTGCAGTGTTTTACAAGGAATTCTACCACCGAGAAATGTGGTATCTGAGCACACGTAAAAATACGATATTTTTACATGTGAAGATATCTTCCTCGAAAGTGCTCGGCAATCTTCGGAAATCTTCGGACATCTTCGGAAATTTTCGGAAAATGTTCGGGAACGTTCGTCTGGTCTTCGGGACAATTTGAAAAATCTTCGGAAATCTTCGTAAGGTGGTCGGAAATCTTCGGAAAATCATCAAAAACGCCGTCATCAGTATGTTTATATAATAAACAGAATAATACATGGACGCTTGGAGATATGGAATTTATCTTCTCGTGTTCACATTCGATATCTCACTCGTTCGCTGCGCTCACTCGTTCGATATCGATGTGAACACTCGAAGATAAATTCCATATCTCCGTGCGACCACGTATTATTCTCTATGTATGTAGCAGGAGTTTGAACCAAAACTGCCGAGGGATATTTTAAAAATGTCGAGGAACAAGTCATTCGACGTCAGAGCAAAGTTTGGAGCAATTTATAGTGCTTTTAAAACTGAAAAGTACCTTTTAAAAAATAGCACAATAGGCAATCGGCTTCTGTTTTCAGAATTAGCAAACATTGAATTTACTTGTCCCGAAAATTGAAACTGGTGTCTCCTTCTTCCTGATAGTAATTTATTTTTGAAATTCCAAAACAATTTCACAGTTGAATTTTGAACGACTTTTAGTTACGGACTTCTGCTCCAACGATTTTTTTTGAAATTTCTCCGGCATATTTATTATATCAATTAAAGCCGATACCAGAAATTGCAGTAAAAAATATCAGCAAAATTTTTTACCAGACGCGATTTTCTTTGAACAGTAGGGTCCTTTTAAGCGCTAATTTCTCAAGAAATATTTACCATCAATGAAATCGGAATATTTCGTATTATTGCCGAATTATATCTGTTGCTCTTTGCAAAGTTTCGCAGCCATCGCGTTAAAATCGAAAAAGTTATGAAGAAAAGTTTGTCACAGCTAAATGCTCTTGTATTAATTACGGAGCCACCTTAAGGATTATGACATATGTTCACTACAATAATTTACAGCGAAGCGGCCGCACCAGGTGGCTGTTTAAAAATGGTTGCCACTTAATAGGGGTTAATCCCTGCGATACAAACTTTAATTTTTCATTTCTACGAGTTTCTATCAGTGCACGACAGTTTATAGGATTCAAATTTTCAAATTCTAAGAGTTGTAAATTTTAGCTTATTTATATTTTGTCTTGAGTACTATTTAAACAAATGGCCCTTTTCCATTAATTCTTTGTTGCTTTCCTCCAGTTAACGTATTTGTGCAAGATTGTTTTGTAATAAACACTTGTGTTCAGTTTATAAAAATCTATGACAAACATTCAAGCATATTACTTTTCAGATTTCGTTCACATCTTAACTTTCATTTGACTTATTTTAGACGATGGTTCCCCCTATTAATATCAGATTTTTGTGTGTGGTTGATGTCTGCAGGGAAAGAATAGATCTCAAAAAAGCTAGGAGCTTTCAGAGAGAAAATAACAGACCTTTCCAAAAAGTGCCATAACACCCTCTAATTTGCATGCAGACGTAATGAAATGGTGGAATTGAAGTTCGCGTAGCCTGTTCGTTTTTTTTTTTTTTTTTCGTCGTGAATTTTTCTCCCGCGCTCTACTTTCTAAACGTCTGGAACAGGCTAAAGTTCGCGTAGACAGATACATTTGAAAACAGTGTACTTTGGAATTAAAGAAAGTTTTAGCTTAAACATGTTAAACAAATTTGAGAAGACTCACAGGAACTAAGAAAACACCTTTGCTCGCCGCCGGGTTCACGTGCAATGGTACGTATTAGAGAGTTTAAACCACGTATACGACAAACGGAAAACATCAGATTTAAGTTGAGAACTTCTCAAAATAGAAAATAATTATATAAAAACAGCTCAAAACAATTCTTATGGATAAAAAGTAGCGCGAAACTACTAATTTATGTTAAGAAATAATGAACAGTCAACGACAAGTAAAGGGGAAACTTGGTCACGTGAAACAAATTCGCGTTTGCCGTTTGACGTAAACGTGATGATTGATCTCTCTATTATACAAATAAGCCCTTATAAAGTTGACTACGAGTTTGACGTTGGGTTATAGGATAGTACGGGTTTTCAAACTCAGCTCGCGTGCTCTAGATAAAAATTTATCGCAATAAGTTTCCCCTTACATTTTCTCATGTGCAGAGAAAGAGTAAGCCTTCTTGCGTTCGTAATCCCGAGCTCGTACTTAAATCGTGTAAAAAGGTGATGCGCAGCTCTTGCCAAAAGCCTCCTGGATACGAAGCTAAACCTGTACACTAAAGAGTATTGTAGTGTTATTTTTTATTTTTTTTTATTTTTTATCCAGGTCAGTCTAATACTTAATCTACAATTCATATTCTAGTCCTCCAGAGCGACGAACGTGCAACGATGCAGAGAATGTGTGCGCACTTAAAACAGGAGGAATTGTCAATAAAGCCCTTTGGATTGTGAATTTGCCATCCTATCGATGACTGACTGGGTCTTAAACTATTTTAACCGCAAGATCCTTTTCTGCTGGTATTTTGTCACTGCTGGAGTCCAAACACCTCGTAATCTGTAACAATGAAATTTGTGGCACCTGTGAAGAACGTTCTCTGTTGTCCTGGTGGAAGCTGATAGGTGTGGCCGAGAGAGCTGCTACTAGGACTTGTGTTTGCATTATTCAGTATCCTTAGGTCATACCCACCACCAAAGATTGGTCCAAAGTTGCCATTACAAACGATGCCATACTCTTCCTTCCCAGTGATAAGCGACATTTTGGTTGCACCCAAGGCACTCGGATTCACCAAGCTAAACAAGAAAGCTTGGCAACACTTTGCATAATCTACAAATGATCAGATAGAACTAACGTTAGTGTTTGCTGGACTCGACTTGCCATGTAAACTTTTAAAGTGACGAATTTATACTTAACTACAGAAATCTGCATAGCCATTAAGGGCTTATTCAAACTCCGGCAATCTTTGCGTGTGTACTGAAATGAATAAAAGACGGCAGCTGTCCTTAAAGTAACAGTGCTCCTAATCTGGTACCCTTCAGGTCTTATGTACATTATGCCTATTATGCTTTTGTTTCCCCACTAAAATGCTCCACCTTAATGCTCCATTTTTCCCACTAAAATGCTCGTCAAACAGAGGCTCTTATATTATTAATTGTAACGTTTTGACAGGGTTCTATCACTACCAAAAGTAAACGTAGTATAACAACAACTTAAGTACATTACAATTTTTAACTTTACACCGCTGACTTTTCCCTAGTCTTCGCACTTTGAACTTCGAGTTTGTCTTCGTTTTCTATGAAATATGTTTTTGCGGAAAAAATTACTCTTATTTTTATGTTCTCAACGCAACGCGTTTTGAGCCCGGGGGGGGGGGAGTCACTTATATAGGTTATATAGGTATGTGCGGCGCCAAAGGGTATGGTTTTTGCGCCGTTTTGGTCTGAAATAGGGTATCAGTTTCGACCATTTTGGCCCGAAATAGGGTATGGTTTGTGCACTCTAGTCTTGAATTGGGTATGTTTTTTAGAGGAATTAGCTACTTCTTCATTATATATTGCATGATGACGTCATTACTACTACGAAGGAAGTACCCCCCCCCCCCCCCGCTCTTTTGTGCGTTTTAGGACACAAGGGGCCGGGCCCTTGGGCGGGGGGCCCTTTGCGGCCCCCTGGGAACACAGGACAAGAAACCGGTGCGAGACGAAAAAGCGGGGAGGGGGACGGGTGGGGGGGAGGGTGGACCCCCCCCCCCCCCGGGCTTTTTAGTCGTATTTAGGACACAAGAGGCAGGTCATTGTGCCAGGCGTTCCTTGCAGACACCGTGGAAACTGAGACTAAGAATCGTTGCATGATCGAAGCCACGCATGTTGCGAAGAAAGCTTAGGAAAGATTAAATTTAGAACCTTTCCGAGACGTGTCGGTCCACGAATTCCATCGCTTGAAAGCGTCGCTTACTTTAGACCAAGTGAACACTATTGAGTGGTCAAAAAAAATATGAATCTTAATTACCAAAACTGCGATGGTCGGGTGTTGTAAACTTTCATTGTATGCAAACGGCTCTTGTGATGAGCATGCGATTTATTTTCGGCGATGATTGAAATGACGAGCCATGTAAATAACTTTTTTGATCTCTAGCAATGATGTAATTTCTCTGGAATCGAGGCTCTTGAATTTACACGCGGATAGCCTGCGAACGCAGACGTAATTGCGGTCGTTGCAAACACGCGTACTAAATCAATTAAGAAACAAGTAAAAAGTACCGATGTGGATAAAGTAGGAAGTAAAAAAACCTTTAGCAAGTAAATCCCGTTTCGCATAGAATTAATCACCTCCTCATTTCTCGACCTAATCTCCAAGGTGAGCGAGACTGACCGCCGCTGTAAGCGCGTTCTTGTTATTTTACCGATCCTCGGAGACCTGGAGGCAGTTTATCAGGGTGGCACGATTTTTTCTTTCGTCCTGCCCCTGGATCTCCGGGGATGATTACCCGTGCGTACATTACCCAAAGATACAGTACAGTTATCAGGTTATGGTACCCTACATTTTGTTGTACAGCATCCACCCTAGATGTTTAACACGCCGGTATTTTTCCTTTGAACGTTTAGACTAAAAGACTAAAACAACTGCACTGTGCTTGGTACAGTATGTCCTAACAGTGCTGTTCAAAGGATTACATTTCTAGTTGTAACAAGTCCTTGTGACCTCGACCGCAATTGAGTGCCGGGATCTCGATCAAACGCGGGGGGAGCTGCCCTCTGTAAACGTCCCCGGCGTTTTTTTAAGAATCGGCAGTTTTGACCCGGCGTTTAATCGACAAAATATGGTACCGTACAAAAGGCGTCTGTTTGCTTAATCTGTTTGCAAGTTTGGGAGATCTGGGTACGAGTTCACAATACTCCTGTCGACCGTGTGGCATTCAACCGGTCTAGTAGTCCTGTTCATCAATCTGTAGGTAACAAGTTTAACCTAAGAATTCCGTAGTTACGGCCTGAATTTCAGACCGATTTCTTCGACTCGCATACTCCTCTCGACAACTAGGAGGAGTATGCGAGTCGAAGGAATGTCTGAAATTCAGGCTAGTCCGTAAGTAGAGGTCCGTGACTGTGGGATCTGGTCTTTTGTTAGTTTTTCTGTTTTTTATTTTCTGGTGCATTGGACTGAAAGTTTGTAAAACTTTCCCCCTCTTGATAAGAACTTTTTTGGCAATCATTTATGGATCATTTTAAAATATGGCTGCACTCCCACCTTCCTGTCGCTTTATTAGTTGTTTTCGCCAGAAGTCATGGGAGTTATGGGAGATCATCGCAAAATCTTACAGGATAAATGATATAAAATAAAGCATGGAAGGCGTCAGGTAGCGCATTCGGAAATATTTTTCACGTATAAATGATGATCAACTGGAGTAAAAACTTACGTGCCCCTCCTACACTTGTCCACGGCTTCTCAGTGAAACCTCCAAATATGTTTGCACCGCTTTTCACAACAGTGACTGTAGGCCCTTTGGTGTCGCACTTAGAATGAAATGCTGAAGCGGCAAAGCCATCTCGTGACGCTTGGAACAGCAAACGCCATTCGCCTACCATGGCCTCGGGTAACCAGCCTTTCAAAGTTTTCCGATGCTCTACATTCGTTAAAATGGTCGACTCTCTGAATGGCTCGTCTAGCGTACCTACTTTAACTGTTAATTTAGCAGGCCTCAACGCCTCAATGAGTCCTTGAATTTGATAAAATTCAGCTTCTTCCTCAAGTTCCTTGATAAATGTAGCTCCTTCAGGCAGAGTTAGTTTTCCCGTGCGGAGAAAGTTAAGGATAAAGCGGAAGTGAGTTCCATCTCGATCGATAAAGAACGAACCGTCTTCAGATGGCTTCATGTCGAACCTTCCTGAAAACATGGCAGCCAGCATGGAGTTGGGATCCTTTGTCAGAGTTTGCACGCTTGTGGTAAAGTGCTGGCCTCCAACATTGAGTTTAACGGTAGATGAAAAGTGAACCTGATCAAGTTTCGTGGACATGGCATCGATGGATTCTTGCTCCAGGCGAAGTCTGCTTGTTTCTTCCTTCAAGATTTCAAACGCCTCTTTAATGTAATGTTCGGCCTCAGCTAGGGATCTACTACTTTGATGGTGACAACTCATGATTTCTCTCAACTTAACCGTAAGATCTGCTACAGGTCGAGGATAGGGTTGTAAATATTCAACGAAGATATCGATTATGCTCCCCCTGTAAAAGCAACCTCTTTCCCAGGCCCCTCTCCTACTCGGCCCACTTGGCGTCTTGGGGGACCTTGTGAGAGAATGCCAGGTCGGAGAGGACCGTGGGAACGAGGTTGCGAATAGCCTGGTTGCGTTAATATTTCGTCACTTCTTTCGACTACAGCACTGTAGAGACAATCACCGCTAAAAGGGGAGCCGAGGGAGAGAAACGCATGAACTAGAAAAGATGAGAGGTCCCTTTCCTTTTCTCCCCAATCCCTTCTTACTTTTCCCTCCTTTCCCCTCCCCTTTCGACGCCTGCCACGCAAACTAAAGGCCTCCTTGTTAACTAAACTCGACTACTACAGTATAATCGGCTCGACGAAAGGGGCTCAGGTGCTAGTCATGCTTTGGTGGTCGTACACAATCTTGTGTTGTAAATGGCTCTACTCGGGTAAGACATTTGTCCAGATTAATGTTAGCATCAACTAGAGCAGAAACCTACGGTCAATATATTTATCTTTATATTCTCGCTTACATGTAGAAGGCACTTGCGGGGAAAAAATTCTTGAGTATTTGACCTCAAATCAAATTTATGCGGCCGAATCGCCTGAGGGACTTTCCGGTTCTGAATTCTAGAAGTACACACGGAGTTTTTGTGTCTTTAATTATGCGATTCGGAAACATTCATCTTAAAAAAATGAGTTATTTTGTCTTTCGACATTTTACTTTCTTATAGAAGCATTACAAGTCGTTGATAAAAAAAGGTACACGGAACAGTCAGGAGCCCTGGCATTGTATGTCCCTCAGGGTGCTCAAAAAGTGCATTAAGATACCTGTGACGTACATAGTAGACCGACTGGTAGTCCTTTATTTTCTTTACGAATGGTACGGCATGCGAACTACAAGAATCGAGCTTGTCCATAAGCTTATTATCTGTATTCGAAACTAATGACTGATAATAAGACTAAACGTTTCCTTCCTCATGTTTCCTTTGAACGCCTTTGTTCAGTGGGGATACTGGTAAGGGATTATTTTCTACTTTCAAGTAGAGTACTTAAGTTTTGTGGATAATTTAATTCAGTCTCTCAGAGGAACCTTGACATAAACAATTTTTGTGGAAATTTAACTCCATGAATTTTGTCAGGAGTTTTAAAATCACACGCACACACACACACCCATACACACAACAAAAACAGAAAAGGCTTCATTTGTAATAAGTTCTCACCGGGAGCCCCCACTCCTAAACGCCCCTAGGTTGGGATGAGTTATGGAAGAGGCGAGCTCGGAGGCGGAAAGGAGCGGGAGCTAAGGCGCCAGAGTGTGCCATCGTTGTGAGGAGGTGGGTGGGGCGACAAACTAGGTGTCTGGTGTCCTCTGTCCTCCGCAGAGGCCTCTTTGTGTTGCTATTTTTAAACCCAGCGGGAGCCTCTACGCGGAGGAGAGAGTCTGGTGTCCGTTTTAACATAGAGAGTAATAAACAGCATGAAAATAGGTAAATCTAGACTCACAAATATACAGCTACTTCGAGAAAGGTTGTCGGAACAAAAAGTGCACGCGATAATCCCGAAGAAAGGTAATATGGGATATGATCAATACACTGTTCGTGACACTGTAGCTGTCGAACCTACCTTTGCTGCTTTCTTTTAGCCCTCGCAAACATACGTCCATGGCCTCTCGTGCCATTCTTTCAAATTCCTTTGAAGAACAGTGAACTCAAAACTACCCAAAATACTTTTCGGGATTGTCGCGTGCACTTTTTCCGACAACCTTTTTCGAAATAGCTGTATGCACAACGAGTTCCCCCGCGAATCCACAGATGCGGGGGAATTTAAATACACGGGTACCACGGGCAAAGGGAGCGTTTGTACGTGACGGCCCCAGTGAGAATAGTTTAATATATTTTGCCGAAACAAACGATCACGCAGTACCTTCTTTTGTCAATGCAAAAATTCGACCTTTAGATCACAGTCTCTATATTATGAATCCGTTTGTAGTCTTATGTATGATGTAAATAAAATCAGTGCTCCGAATAATATGAAACTCTTCTCTCGAATTTCCAGTGTTCATACTTACAATACACGTGCCTCAACCTCTGAACATTTTTATACTAAAGAATCTCGACTCAATATCAAACGAAATGCTTTTTCGCGTGTTGAGGTCAAAATTTGGAATGGGATACCTCAAATTCTTAAAGAAAGACTGAAAAAAGCTTTTAAAAGATCTCTAAAAGCAATGCTAATCGATAACCTTCAAGTGAAGACTCCTTTATTGATGTGAATACGATTATTGTGAAAATGAAAAAGTAATTCTCTTGTCTTTTATTTTCATTTTAATTATATTTTTAAAATTTCACTTTAATATTGTCCTCGTATTTGAGTAGAATAGTATTTATTTACTGTAAAATATATTTAACAATTATTCCTCGAGCCCGAATGGGCTTTGAGTCAGGCTATTGACTCAGAGGCCATGAGGCCTAGTAAAGTCCAACTAGTTGGTCAAAAATATCAGGACAAAACAACTTAAGCTAACAAAACGCGATTCAGCCGCCATTGTTTTGGTTTTCAAAGCCGGTGCTTTTCGCTACTAGTGGGCTATAACATATAGCCTAGTCACGTTCGCTCAACAAATCAGAATACAGCATTGATAATAGACCACTAGTTGGATTTTACCAAATACTTATATAACGTCTAATTTCTTTGTATTTGTCTAGTTTGTAGTAAATTATGTAGCCTAGCCTGCCTCGAATAGCCTCGCTAACTGCAGGCCAGTCCCAATATATTTTTGTTATATTTCCAAATTTAAATAAAGTTGAATGTTGAATTAGCCTGCGCAGCTGGCGGGAGCCGCGAGAGGACTGGGATCAGGTCAGATTGCGGCTCCGCCGCGAAGAAAGTAGTCTGCTACACAGCCGTTTTTAGTGTCGTCAGGCAACGTTCTTCCCCACTAGTGGGGAGGAGCGTTGCGTGACGACACTGAAAACGGCTGTGTAGCAGACTACGAAGAAAGTAACCCGCGCATAATAATCCCGCCAGCTTCGCAGACTATTTCATTACCATGATGTGGTTTTGTTAAACCGTTGAAACTTCGTCATGTAAGGACATGATTCCAAGACATGATGGAAAAACCTCGTCAAATATTAAGGAAACAACATCCCGATAATAATGTAACCACATCACAATATTTCGAGAGGACATCACATGGCTGCGAAACCTCAACACCAAACTGACCAACCACCACAGAACGTTACTATGGCTTTTCATACTTTTTCCGTTTTCCCTCAACGTTTTCGCATTATAATAATCATATTTCCCGGCTTTAGAGTAGATTGTTCGTCTGTAATGTGCAGAAACCATCTACAATCAAATTCTTGAAAATTAACTACAATTTGTCAAAAGGGCCTGAGAAGCAGAAAGAAAGAAGAAATCGTAAGCACGGCAAGGAACCTTAGAATCTCATCATGCTGCAGAATCAGAGCCACTTTCCGTCAATTGTGAGATTAAATGTCGGAGGTAAACGCTTTACCACAAGCCTGCAAACGCTAACAAGAGATCCCAACTCGATGCTTGCAGCCATGTTTTCAGGAAGACATAAGGTGGAGACTACTGACGACGGTTCGTTTTTTATCGACCGTGATGGAACTTACTTCCGCTTTATATTAAACTATCTCCGCGACGGAGAACTAGTTTTGCCAGAGAGTCCTAAATTCCTCAAGGAACTTGAAGCAGAAGCTAGGTTTTACCAGCTGCAAGGGGTACTGGCTGAACTGGGGGTTATAAAGGCCTTAAAAGTGTTGGAGAAATCTGTGATTTTGACAGCTGCAAAGGATCGAAGAGTCTTGATAGGCTGGATACCTTTGGAATATACACTTGAGGGCGAATGGTTATTGTTGTACCGAGCTTCTCGCGATGGTTTCAATGGTTCAGCATTTCATGAGCGATGCGACAACATAGGGCCTACAGTCACCGTTGTGAGAAGTGGTGCAAACGTTTTTGGAGGCTTCACTGAGCGGGCTTGGACAAGTAAGACTGCTAACACTGCTTTTGATTGTGTATTAACATAAATACAAAACTTATAAAATGCAAGCAATCATGTACACAAACTATACTAGACAAAATGAGAATAGTCCATTTTAGACCATTTTATAGTTACAGGTGGAAACGAGGCTGGAGTTGAGCATGACCTTGTTTTGATACAAACATCCCTTCCTGCTTCATTATGCAAATCATTTTATTCTTATGCTAACTAGCCATTTTTAGCATAAGTTCCATAAGAGAAGGAAGAAGGTTTGTATGAAAACAAGGTCAACCGCAGCCTCACGTTCACCGTCAGAGGATAGAACACAAGCCCCCAACTGTTTAATGGCCTATTAGGCCAACTAAAAAAAAAAACAAATGTTTCTCGACCCCGCCCTCTTCTTCTTTTGGGGCCGCCTCTCTCTTTTTATTATTTGTCAGTTGGTAACGATTGCACGAACAAAAACCAACGGGCGTTACTTTTACTGTATGCCACGAAAGGGGATATAAGCCAAAGACGAAAATCACGAGGAGCTTTCAGGCAAGCTAAATCTTAGTCCTATTGACGTTTTCAATGCACCCTTCCTATTGCGATATATCGTATGATGCATCACGTTGTTGTTTAAAACATGTATCAAAATAATACAAACTTGTGTTTAATTAATATCTGACGTTTCATTTTATTAATATTTTACCTAAGAACTTCAGCTTATCCCTGGGAAAGGGTAATAATGTGTAAAGAAAGCATTCAATTAGAAATAATAAAAAAGTCGGAAATAACAAAAAAGCGCCCGCCCGCTCTCTTTTGTATAGAAATCCTAATGAGAAAAATTTGTTTTTTTTAACTTGGCCTTAGCCGGTAAACTTAACTTGTATGTAACTGTTTATAAGAGTTGATTTATTTCCATCATACGCGTGTATACGTTC